TGAGGAGCTGCTATGTACTGTGGAAAACAGGTGAGCAGGATTAAGGTGCAGGTGAAACCATTGTGTTAGATGAGGTGACGTTACCAGGAGTCTGGGTGAGCTGGAGGCAGGGAGGGGTAGGATCATGACACTCCGTATACACACATACAGATAATACTCAGAGAGACTCTGTGTCTTTGACTCTTTTCATCTCCACTCCAAAAAAGATACATTTAATGCTCTTCAGAAAGCTCTATGTCCTGAGCACACACATTCATGTGGACACAGATAAATGCACATGTTAACATCCGCAGTTTCAATAAACACATTTCCAGTGAGCTCTTGTTTCTCATCAGAGACCTTGCTTAAACTTTAAATTGCCCTCCTATCTGTTCAAATATGGTAGGTGTACTGTACATATAATACATATGTTTATATCTTGTCTGTGTTAAATTATTGGTTTTTATGAATCTTTTACACTGTTGAGCTGTAACAGTTATACAGCATATCAGTGTTTAACTAACATACTCATATCCTTCTTATTTACTTATTAAACTATCATTCTGTTTTTCTATATTATAATGTTCCTATTATTATCACTATTATTATCTTCTCAACTTCACACTGACACATTTTCAAGTGCATTTATATATGGAAAAACTGCTCATTTAACTTGCCTGCATGTCATTTTCAAAGGATTTGCACTATTCATGTGGCTAACAAATCCAATTTAGTCAGCGTTCAAACACTACATATGGCTCTTACAAATGAATCATCTCCAGGCAACACTCAACAAATGAATGCAATAAATTATTTCAGGGGGACAATTAAGTCTCCCTTCATTAACCAGTTGCTCATTAAGTCTCATGATCACATCCTACCCGTCTGTAAGGACCCTGATATATCCCCACTGCAGAAGATTCAAAGTGAAGCCATGTGCACACACATGCATGCTCACACATAAACAAGGAATACTGACACACAAATCAGCACAAAACTGAGACGCGCTCATGCCCTAATGAGGTGTCCTGTTTGCATGTTCAATGTGCTCTGTGGCCTCATTATCATCATCCTCCTAATGCATATTGTCTTCCAGTGAAAGAAATCAACACCACATCATTGCACTCCAGAGGAAGCCACAGTCTCTCCTGCTCGCTTAGTCTTTTCACCTTTTTATCTTTGTCTTTTTATTTCTGCGTCTTTGTCCTTTAGTCTTGATTTCTGCCCCTCTGTCTCTCATTAAATCCCTTCTCTCTTGCTCTTAATGCCTCTTTTCTCTCTTTGTGCTTCACTCTCTTTCTTGCTATGTCTCTTTTACTGTGCATTATGTCCCGTCTTTGCCATCTCTCCTGTCATTATTTCATCAAACAATCTGCAGGATTAGGACAACACAGTTGAGCAAACTCTGCTTGACTTTGAGAATAATAGCAAATCTGTAAGGAATTGGCATCTGAATAAAATTACCACATATCCTGTTAATTGCATTTGAATGCAGCTGTTGTTATCCTTTGCAAAGCTGAATGCCAAATTGATTTGTAATTCAGAGGGTGTTGCTGTGCCTGAAAAGGAGATTGTTCTAACACAGCTTTTAAGTGCATAAAAGCCCCAGCCTGCTGTATGTTCCAAGGGTATGAGCAAACTTTTTCTCTCACTAATTTGCTTAACTGCAGAAAGTGTCTGATTGTATTTGTATTTGCATTACATGTCATACAATGTATGGTGCTGAAATCCACGTCAAACAATAGAGAGCTGTGCACAGGAAAGCAATTACAGAGGTGCTAATATACAGGCAGACGAATATATCAGCAATATCACACAGTGCAGCAGTTGACTCCACAGACATACAGAGAAGAAAGGAGGCTGTGGCTGAACTATGGCAGCAACTGGAAGGCTCGTGCCTTACATATGCATATGTAAGGCAAACTTTGTTGAGATGTAAAACCTTGAGTAATAGTGCACACACACTGCTCACACTGTCAGTGAAGCAGTATAGGAGAGTGTGGGAAAACCTTCTGCTTCTGACCTTGGTCCTGACACACTCCCTCAAAACCACCAACAAAGACACTGTGTGTGTGCAAAATAGGAGTGTTTCCTAAATTCCCTGAAGCAAAGTCATTCCATTTGCTCTCACCAGGGGACAGCCACCACTTATCAATTTATGAATTGAATTTCATTTTCAGCTTCCGACACACAGCATGTGAGTGTCACTGAGTGAAAGGCGCCTTTGACTTCATTGTAAGATAGTGAGAACTTCCTGGTTACAGAGCAGACAAAGCCACACACAGCCCATTAGTGATAATACTGATGTAAATGCAGTTTAAATGAAGGGCAATTTGTCATTGTATTCATAACTGATAGACTATACCTACAGGGTTTCCAGTGAAAACATTAGGTAATACTCTATTAGCTGTAGCCAAGGTTTGCAAGATGATTTCAGAAGTGACAAAATTCTCAAGGGTTCAACAATCCATAATGCCTCTGTAATTACCAACCATGCACAAACACAATCAATATCCAAGGATGAAGCAGTTAGTTTCTAAGGAAGAGTGGTTGAAGGGAAAAATAAAAACAAAGATTAAGAGAAATAAATTATATGGCACTGCATGCATATCTTTGATCAGAGGAGCAGAAAACAAGAGCAGGGCAGTGAGAGAGAGGATGTTGCAGGTTCTAGGTTATGATTTCTGTGTTAACCTTAAAGGTATGAAAGCCCAGAGCAGCACCTACAGTATCTGTTCATCATTATACAAATCAATAGTATGCTCATTAATTCAATCCCCGGTAGTTCCAAAGGTAAATGCACACCGAAAACAAAACTGAGCAGCATATGAGCTTGACTAAGAACACAATAGGCAGTGCTACAGCTGCTGTTTCACACACTGCAACAGCTGTAATGATGACTATTTAAAGGAGACAACTTCCTGTTTAAATTCTGCAAGGCCTGCAGAGGCAAAATTATATAGAAATGTGTATAATTTTAACAATTACAATTCCCAAAACTGATTTCTTAAAAGGAGGAGGGGCTTACAATTGTCCGCTTAGTGGATCTCCCTCTAAAATACATTACTGCAACCACCTGGTTTCCACATGAGGATTAACATACTTTCATCTTATTATACTATATTTTATGCCGCCCCCCTCTCCCCACTCTGCATCATCCCTCTACATCATCCCACAGAGAAGAAAGAGTTTAGAGATATTCTTCAAAAGAGGCACCAGTAACAAAAGAAACATCAACAACTTTTGTTCAACTTGATTTCTCTCAGCTGTGATTGTCAGCAAGTGGCCTCCTCCGTGGCTGAGCACAGTCACAAATAAATAAATAAATAAAATTAGTGGCTGCTTTCTTGAGAATTTGAATGTGGAATAATTTTTCACACAATGTTCTTTGAACCTCTTTTGTCTGCTGCTAAATTAAAAGAGTCTCTCTCTCTCTCTCTCTGCTGTATTTGCTTTCTGAGCCCCTTGTGTTGAGTGGGCGACTAGCTGTGACTGCCGCTGTCAGATTAGCATCTTTAGAAAAGACATATGCTCATGCTTATGTGTGTGCGTGTGTGTCCTCCATACTATTTTCAGACTTTCACACATGCTGCATTATTCATGTTAAACCATGCGGAGAATGATGCAATCTTGTGTCACATAACACCACTGCTCTGGTTAATATTACATACATGGATATGTTCACAAAATACTGAAGACTCTCACACACACACACATAAATGCTGGTACACTTAGCCAATCATACTGTTTTATATCAGTGGACACATAAGATTCACTCCCTCACTGACAAACAATGCTTACACATGTACACATACAAAAACAAAGCACTAAATTGTATTGCAAATGAGAACAAGGCACCGCAAAGCGAGAATGGCACTGTGTTCAAGTGCTGTTACCGTGACAGATCCCAGCCTAAATCATGTTTAGTAGTTGTTCTTGATTAATATGCAAATCTTCCATTAAACGCACAAGCAGGTTGTTAACAAGTGTGTTCAAACTTGCACATGCTCACACACATACATGTACTGTATGGATTTCTGAAAGAAGACAGGCAGAAAATGTGTGGCCACAAACACACACACAAGCTGTGAAAGAGCGTGGGATAGATGTGGATGTGAAATGCCATGGGCGTCATTACTGGACTCATATTTCATAATCATACGGCTATCCATCAGCCCTGTTCAGCTAATGATGACAATGCCAACACACATAAACACACTCACACAAATACACACATAGGGATATACAACTATTTTCTCCCACAGATGTACAGTAAGGGCTGCAAGGACAAACATGAGCAGCACAAAGAGAAGCCACACTGTTGTATTGCACACACATGAGCACTCACAAGAATGCTCATTTAGGCCCACACGTACTAGAAAACACACTAAAATAAGGATGTGTCCTATCAAACCACATACACTCGCATGCATGCACAAACATAGCCTGCAATGAATGAAGTGGCTATTGACAGATTTCAGCAGTAATTGATACCCATGTTTGGCAGCCATTTTTATTTGGCTCAACCACAATCCAAAGCCGTTCCTTACAAGCATCACTTGACACATCTCGACACATCCCTTCTAACACACACGCAAATCTGAACACATGAGATAAAACCACACTTTGGGCTTCTAAAGGGAAATGCACAGGCTTTACAAAACAATGGCCTACCAGCAGACAGACTACATTTTAATTGGATGTCATCACTGAACTGAACTTTATTTCGCCAGTGATGATGAGTTGGGAATGGGTGTACACATGCCGGCCATGGTGAGAGGAGAGGAGAGGAGAGGAGAGGAGAGGAGAGGAGAGGAGAGGAGAGGAGGGGAGAGGAGAGGAGGAGAGGAGAGGAGAGTTAACAAGTGTGTTCAAACTTGCACATGCTCACACACATACATGTACTGTATGGATTTCTGAAAGAAGACAGGCAGAAAATGTATGGTCACAAACACACACACAAGCTGTGAAAGAGAGTGGGATGGATGTGAGGAGAGGAAAGGAGAGGAGGTAAACCTTACCTTAAACAGTCGCAGGATGTTGGCCACCATGATGGACACTGAGCTGGCTGAGGCTCCAATCACCCCTACAATTTTATCCGGCTTGGTGAAGATCGGAGGGTCTCCATTAGCACAGCGGACATCGGAGCCATCCCTCTCTATCAAGGCCTGCACAAAAGTCAGGGACTGCTCCAGAGCATATGTGTCCCTGGAGCAGGTATCCAAGATCCGGGCCCCCAGCGTGATGTTGGGCAGCAGCTCTGGGTCCTTGTTGATCAGGTCAATAGCAAACATCATGGCTTCCAAACGATGGATGCCCTTCTCTTTTTTCAGCTCCCCACATGGCGTGCCCCGGTCCCCCCGGGAGTGGACAGGAAATAATCCACCGAGGATGATGTCCCCATCCAGTCGGATGGAGTGGGCATACTCTGGTGCCACCTGGGGTTCTGTGGGGATTCGCTGGGGGGAAGTGACAGGAAGGAGCCAAGTGTAGGAAGTAGCCACAAGCAGGAAGATGACAGAGGGAGACTGTGGGTAGGAAGTAGAAATCCACAGTGATTCCATGATCAGCAAATAAGACAGCTGAAAGGAAAGGCGATCTTAGAGGCTTCCTGTTAGGTATTCCAAAACTGAGGCAGTGTCTTTAGGAATATTAAAGAGTAGAACTTTCCTACTGGTCAAAAAGTGTGGAGTGATGGACCCCAGGGATGGAGCTAGCCAAGCCCCATGAGTGAATCATATTCCAGAAGAGAAAGTGTGATGAAAAAGAGTGGCAGAGGAGAAATGTGGCAAAAGGTTGTATTTAACCTAGAGAGGGCGTAGAGTCTCTAATCCACAAGTCACATTTTCCAGTAAGGCCTGTTTAAGAGAAACAGAGAGAAGACATCTAAGTACCAGTGTGATATGAACATCAAGATACTGCAGGGATGTGCGGTCCACCTGAAAAACATGTACACCGCTCACAGTCAGAGCAAAACTGCAGTTAATCATAGCAAAAATTTGTCTCAAATGTAAACACATTCATACGTCTGCACACACCCACACAGGGCTTAATCTTTCCAGGAGACCTGTCAAAATTTGCACTGCCATTCTGTAATTGAAAACCCAGAGTATGTCAATTTGTAGTCACCTCTACACACACAAACACACACTCACACGTCTCTTGGCACATTGATGAGTGGAACAGGTATTAAAATGCCAGCAGAGAACCTTGGCAAGCTCCTCCGGCTAGTCACATGAAGGCACAGACTACCTGCTGTAGAGGAGATGTGGAAGAGATAGATAGATAGAAAGACAGAGAGAGAGAGGAGGAGGAAAAGGAAAGAGGGAGAGAGATGCAGGAGGACAGATGGAGGAGAGAAAGAGACAGAAAGAGAAACCATATGTGACAGTGTGAGAGAAACAGAGACAGCAGTGAAAAAAAGAGAGAGGTGCCTTGGAGCAAGTGTTCTGCATCATTCAAACACCTGCTGTTTCTGCTGCAGCTAAATGAACACATCACATCGAGTACACCCTACTCCACACACACACACACACACACACACAAACACACAGAAAGAGAGAGAGAGAAAGAGAGCTTGAAATCACAACAGGTAGATTTCTTGTTGAATGTTGTTTCTTCATTTTAACCATACTAAATGTTGATATGCTATTTCTGCTTTCATCTACTGCAGAGAGGTAGCACTTCTATCCCTGGTAGTAATAATGTCATGCTGCACATTAAACGGCCAAATCCCTGAAAAGCGCAAGTTAGTTTGAGCTGAAACTGAAAATTGGTTGTGACAAACTGGTTACTTGCTAAAGTACATGATATGGGTGTTAATGCGCATTAGTGGAGGCCCTGGGGGTTGTCTTCCCATTTCTCTTTCCTGATCCAAAATCCCTGATTTAAATTTTTGCACTGACACTCTTTAAAGTGAGTAAGTAATTAACTCAAATTTTGATCCTTGAAATAAATGAAGGGAATAACGGTGGGTGTTGCCTTTCCCTTACATTTAACCTTAAGTCTGTGGTTAACAAACAAAGCATTCATTATATGGCTAGCTTACTAGGAATATTTAGCTCTTAGTGTTTAGCTAGAAATTAAAACTAGATGGAGAATTACACCAGATTTTGCAGTGAAATCAGACCCCTTCTCTTGTGTTTAAGGTCTTTTGGTTGACATAGATTTCATTACACCATATCTACACATTCACACATTATAGGTGTCCAGCTCATTTTAATACATACATGGTTAGTTTTTAAGATGGCCCATTTTACATAGGTTAGCAAATTAATTAGCCTTGTGTTTCACTCCATTGCTGGAGTACTATCCAAATCTTAAAACATGTTAATCTGTGGGCTATAGAGGTACTAGTAGGTTTTATAACCTCTGAACAGTGCCAGACTAGCTGTGTAGCCCTTTTCCAGTATTATGCTAAGCTAAGCTAACTGGCAGCAGCCTGTAGCCTCCTATAGCCTACAAAAGAACACACCCTTCTACCTCTCAATGATGCCCTAATTAAGCATATTTCCCAAAATGTCAAAGCTATTTATTTAAGAAAGCAATAGGTATTCTACATGAGAAGATGTGTCCATATATCAGTCAGAGACTTATTCACACTCAGCTTCCATTTTCAAAAATTTAAGTGGAATATATTCTATGTACATATGAACCCAGGCTATATTCAAGCAGCCAGTTTGTGAGAAAGGGGGTGTCCGCAGTTCATTTTTGTCCTGGGGTCCCCAAGAGGAATAATATGGTCCTGCTTATAGTATGCTACAGGAGTTCATATTTATAATCTTGAACTGCATCTGTTCCTGCTGGCCCACGATCAAATCCCACATTGTTATTCCAAAATACTTCCCACTATCTCACTGAAGTTGCAAAACAACAGAAAAAGACTGTCTTTACGGACAGTAAAGCACCATTTACAATACTTTTCAAAATATTCAGCAGGCCTGCTTAATTCTACCCATAAGGGCCCCTAACTGGTTTTGGGCTCAGATCTCACCACAGCATGCGCCAATCTCTCAATAAATTCATTTATAATTTGATTCTGTCCCAATTAATTCATCAGTTTCTCTCCACTCTAAATGGAATTAGGTCAAAGCCACTCACACACAGCCAAGGCCCTGCTATGATTAAAAGCCCTGCTTTATAGGTTAGCCAGCTCTGATTCATCTGCTAACACCATGTACTCTACTTGCTGTAAATATTGTTTATTCAACACTTTTCCTTTGGATTCAGGTTGGCTCAGAGCAGAATAGATCCAAATTAGGCTCAGGGTCATGTCATTTAGCCTTACTGCATGCAGTCATATGACTCCACTTAATATCTACTTCTGACTAGGGTCCAATATAGCTCTCAGACTCAACGTCTGTTCATCATCTTTCTTGTTTCTGCGACTTATTTAATCTTTCTGGCTCTTAATATTTGGCAGAAACAGAATCTTCCCAAACAGAGAGCCACCGTGTGGACTTAAGCTCACCTACAGTGGAGCACAGTATAAAAAAAAATAAATAAAAAATAAAGGTTACATTCTCTGTATGTCCGTGCAGATTCTCAGTCATCCAGGTCATAGTAAGCTGAAAAAAGTTAGAAAAATCAACTGGACTAGGTTTTTAGGTCAAAGACGTTTCACCTCTCATCCAAGAGGCTTCTTCCGTTTTTTCAGATTCTCTGTATGTGTAACTATATCTAAATGTCTTGAGAAGGGACAAAGCATCAGGGCAATGAATGTCTTGTGACTGAACTGAGACCCTGAGTTTTCTCATTTTCATTCGCGCTCACTGAAAGTTTTGCATGAGGTGAAAAGCTTTGACATCCTCACCTGTAGGTTCATATATTACACACCTGGTCTTACTCTTAATAACCCAATTTAGCTATTAATATTCCTCTGCTAGTCCACTACTCCTGTGAGATTTCTTGTACTTTGTGATACTTTACATAGGCTCAGAACCAGATTTCTTCTTCTCCATCGTGGCATTCAGAGGAAGGAGGTTTCCTGCACTGTGGTGGTTAGTGGCTCAAAGATGAAGAGGGCTAAACCCCAAGAGGCTGCAGCTGGATCATCGCTCTTCTTTAATTCAAATCCACAGCTAGATTTCTAGGTGAGTGTTGTCCACTTGTTGTTCTGCTCTGATTTTATCTCGTCTCCTCTTCTTTGCTTTCTACTATTTTTATCCCCACCCCCACCTTCACTCCTCCCTGCTCCACACCTGCCCTCCCCGCCTTTTCTCTCTATCTCCTCTTCCCCCTCTTCAGTTCCTTCACCTCCCCTGATTCATTCCCTACCACCACCACCATCCCCTCCTCTCTCTCTCTCTCCTCTGTTGCATCGCCTTCTGCAGGCCTCCTCATCTCTCTGAGGAGCATGCTGCTCTTTTCAGAAAGTGATAGCTTTTCTGCAGCCCTGCTTTCTCTATCCTTTGCTCCTCATTCTCTCCCTACTTCCCTCTAAGAAGGTGCTTCTCAGAGTCTCTCGTTCAACAACTGCTGTCGCGCTCTCTGTCATCCCCTTCTTGGTCTTCTCAGATTCACATCTCACATTTTTTCCCCTCCACCTGTTCCCTCCTTTGTGCTCAACCAATCTCACATGTTCCAGTAGCTTTTGTTTTTTCACCATGGGTCAAAGATGCACTCAGTCTTCCCTCAGTACAGCCACCTGCTTCTTGTACACACACTTCTTTGGATTCTCCCTCTATTCAGTGTGTTATGGTCTTACCCAGACTAAGATTAAATAAATAAATAAATGTTTGGTGAAATGCTATATGAAACACTTCCTTATGACATCCATGCTTTATATAAATCCCATGCACCCCCCTCTGCACATACACGGTTCCCATGAATGTTACCTACAAATAAGAACACTTTTAATTCATTTTCATTCACTTTAGACCTTTTCAGTTGTTTCCATACATGGATAAAGGCCTATAGATGCTGTAGCTCTGGCATTATTTTTAAACACATCATTCTGATGTGATTCAAGTTGTATGTCTGGAGATAAAGCACAGCCCAGGCATTCACAAATAAGACTATCTGAAATCAAAGTCTTGGGGTGTATGCTCATTATGCAGCCCTATAGGCTCCTTTCTGTACAGGAGTGGTTAAATTTTGCTTGCACACTGATTAAGATGCTGCCATCAGCAAAAGCACAAAAACACCAGTGCAATATCTGTAGGAACAGTAAATTACAAAGCTTAGTTTCTCTTGTTTCCTTTTAAATACTCCACTCACAAAATATTTAGTACTGAGTGAAACATTCCTCATTACATGTACTGTTAAGACATTACTCACCTTCCCTCTATTCCACGGAATCCGTGTGAAATAACAAGTATGAATAATAAAAAAAAAACAGTACAGTTCCATAGGAAATAGGCAGCAAGTCAAATATAGATAATGCTGTAAATAAGACGGACTGCCCAGGGAAATGTAATGATGCCACACACGAGAGGGAGAAAACAGCCACAGAAAAACGAGGAAAAATGGGGCAATAGCATTTGGTCAGAATGGAGAAAAATACGAAATGATAATATGTAAGATACCTCAGAAAATCAGATTCATCCAGTAGTGAGTGAAGGGTGTGAAGCGCCGTACCCAGCCTCCACCACGGACCGCTTGTTGTCCCTGGACGCCTCAGGCAACTTCCTTGCGGAGCTCAGCAGTTTTCTTCCCCAAGATTTCAGTCCTCTTGGAGTGAATTTTCCCCACAATAGCAAAAATTGTTTAAGAAAAATCAGACCATCCACAAGACGGAGACATGAACAAATAGATGTGATAGATCTTTAAAAAGTCCTCCGTCATAAACAGGAAAACTGATTTTACTGGCGAAAATGCAGTTATTGATCCCGCAATTGTTTAAGGAGACAACAGGGGGAGGCTGCCTGTAATGAAGTCGAAACCCAAGAATGAGTGTGATACAGAGAGAGAGAGAGAGAGAGAGAGAGAGAGAGAGAGAGAGAGAGAGAGAGAGAGAGGCAAAGGAATTCACCATTCATCAGACACATGGACAATGTCAGTCCTGATCAATAATGCTGGGAAAACCCACCTGATTTGTACCCATTGTCCTCTCTAAGCTTTCCGGACTTTATGGATAAAACCTTCACGTGAAGCCCACTCGTGTCGCTCCACGTACGGACGCGTGCACAATCCTCTTGAGTTCCTCCGGTTGCGGGTGCTAAAGGGACAACGCACGACTCTGAAGAACAACAACCTCCGAAACATGAATTTCAGGCATGGGGTCTACTTAAACCCGCCCTCTCTAAATTCTCGTCTAATTTCACCGCTGTGGACCAGCAGACACCACCCATTCAATCAAGTTTATGACTAATCAATAACGAGCTTTGGGAATTTAAACAAATTAATAAGTCATCAAAATCTGCGCACTGGGGCGCTGCGCCACAGTAATGATTGCCTGGACTTCAGTCATTTTTTTTACTGCTCCCATTGATTCCCTTCTTGTAAAACCAAAGCACCGTGGCTTTTTGTGGAATTAAATAAATGAAGCGCATCCCATCTCCTGTGTAATAACAATTTCATAAGAAATGTGGAGTGAGAAACCAGGCAGTCGAAATAGACCTGAGTGTTCTCTCGTGTGACAGTGTGGAATGAGTGGATAACTGTCCAATTTGTGGCTGTCAACTGGAGAGAGCGATGGAGGGATGCGGAGCAATGACGCCATCTCGTGGCGAAAGATAAGTAGATGCAACAGTTACAAAGCAGGCGGGGTCCTCAGGCTGATAAAATACAGTCATGATCTTTCGTGTGTTTATTGAATACACCCATTAAATATACAAAGTCATGGTGGAAAAAGTAATGGCAACAGGAGGCTTCTGATGTCACTAAACATCAACTGAAGTCAGGTGTTAGTAAACCTGGAGTCCAGTCAATGAAAGGACACTCAAATAGTGTCACTGTGCTATTCACAAGCAGCATCAGCTGATGTGAGCCATGCCTTGCAAGAAATAAAATAAAATAAAAAATCTCAGAACACCTATGATCAAGAGTTGTTGATTTGCATGTAAATGCAAATGGTTATACAGTCATCTGCATGGTTTGGTACTGTGGCTACTCTCCATAGAAGTGGGCCCCCAACCAAGATCACTCAGAATTAGAATCAGAATCTGCTTTATTGGCCAGGTGTGTCAGACACACAAGGAATTTCACTCTGGTACAGCAGCTCTCAATGTGCTTGTATATATCCCCATGCAAGGGACAAGTAAACAGAAAACCAACATAAAGAAAGTGCAAGTAACCAAGGCTTCCATCGCTGTCTGTGCCATCTTTTTCACTTCACTCCAAAGGCACAAAGCAGAATGCTCAGTAAGGTAAAAAAAGAACCTGTGGAATGAACTCAATAGTCCCATTCACACCAGAGAATACTGCTGAACAGAAGCAGCTCTACCAGGAAGAATGGTCAAAAATTCCTCCTGAACATTTTGCGGCTCTAATCCACAGCTATAGGAAGCGCTTGATTTTGATTTGATTTGATTTGATTTATTCTTTCAAACATGTAACGACAGTCAATATGTCAACACACATAATTTCACACATATCCACAAATGCATTATCAATTTGCTTATACCTAGTACATGCTTGAACGGAGTAGGAAGAAGTTAGACTTATCTAGTCCTACCCCATAACATCATCTTACCATCATTGGTTTGCAAGCAGTATTACTACATAGATAATTTTGTTCGACACCACGCTAGTGATATACTAAAGAATATTAGACTGTTAACATTCTTACATAATTACATACTTTGATAATTATCTTCTACATCACACAAGTAGAAATATTACATAGTGTTAACATTCTTACACCACACCCACAATGTTACACCTGATTAATCGTTAAACCTGTTCTTGCATATATCTTGATTGACACATACCTTTATATTTATGTTTAAACTCATCAATTCTCTTACTATTTTTTATGTCCACACTTAAATTATTCCATAGTTTTACCCCACTTATGGAAATACAGAATCTTTTTTTGATTGTACGTGTAGCATGAATTTTATAATTTAACTGACCCCTTAAATTGAGGTCATCGCTGCCAAAAGCGGCTGAAACCAGATATTAAAAGACTGTTGCCATTATTTCTTTCACCATCACTTTGTATGTTTAATGGGTGTGTTTTATCATCTTCGAAATATGTTTCAAGGCCACCACAATAATTCCAATTCCAAAGAAGCCCCACCCAACCAGTTACAATGACTATCAGCCTGTAGCACTGACTTCTATTATTATGAAGTGCTTTGAGCGGCTGGTCATGCAGAACGTCAGGTCCATCCTTCCTCCCTCTCA